CGAAATGCATTTTTCTGCATACTATGGGTACCTAAAATGTTATATAATCGAAAGACATTGGAAATCCTCGTTCTATCTTCGTGGCAACCAATCTTTCGTGTGTTTATGCTTGAAAAGTTCGTCTTAACTACGATTTCGTTATGGTAATACGGGAAAATTGAATAAGCTTTTTTTTTTTTTTTTGAAAACTTCTAAGCGCCTCGCATATTACCTTACACTTCTGTGTGCCTTTGAGTTACAACGTTCGCGGGACAAAGACTAATTGACACCCTTTCGTTTGTTCCGTGTCTATACGACGACATTAATTAGCCCGTCGAATTACAGTCGGCCACGCCTGGCAGTGTCAATTTTCTGGTTTCAATTGAAAACTGAATGTTTGTGTCCTAAAAACTACAGGATTACCAACATCGTTCGACATAAAACTATTAACGTACAAATATCAATAATTTTATATCATCGGCACAAACTGCCCAAGCTCGTATTGCAAAACAATTTATGTACTATACAAACTTTCAACGGTCGAATCGGTTCTAAAACGTTCAACTATAAACCATTAATTTAAGATCAAAAATATATTTCGACTGTTTTGATAGCAGGTGATATATATTGAAAACTTTTTACGAACATTTTACTTACATGGCTATTGAAAATTATTATCAGTGTATTATTGATCATGCGATGTATATTTTCTCCGTTGTTTGCGCATGGTTTCGTATCCCATACCGTGTTTCGCTTTCTTTTGGTATATTTTCCGACTCCGTGCATACACTATACGCCTTTGGGTATTCCGAAGAAAGAAAATATAATGTTTTTGGCACGATTTCGAATAACAATTTCATAACGAAAAAATATTTATACATATTTATAAAGCACTGAGATTGGTATTCATTCATAAAAACTTTATAAAAATACAATTTAAATACTACCAGAGTCAAGAACGTTTTGTAGTTATTTAAACTGCAGTCAAGTTGATAAGTTATGAGAATAAATTACAATTTCAATAGAATTGACTCGGTCTTCTTTTGAATATAAAACTTGTTTTATTATTGTTTCTCATTAATTAATTAACAAACCGTATATGTGAGCTTGCATTAATTCGCGTCATCGTAAAACGGATCATACAGTTACCACACTATAATTACCGAGTAGAAAAGCCGCGATACGCGGTAGAACCCATTCCGACGATGGCAGGAACGAGGTGAATGCATCGATGGCTTTCGCCGATTCCGGCTCGAACAGAACTGTTTAAAATAATCGAATCGATTCTGGTCAGAAATTGTGCCAGCCGGTGTGTTCTGTAAACGCGTATGAGAAAAAAAAAGGATAAAAATATAAAACAATATAGTCGGCGGAAGATCATCGTTGCCATGTATTCGGATTCACCGGCGCGATGAGTATGATATTCGTACGATAATTATCTCTCGCAGCATTTCTCTGACGGTTTTCGCGTTGAAACATACGTCAATGTTCAATTTCGTGCCACGCGACGGATCATTTTGTCACTGACTGCCCCGTAGCGTTGAAATCCGTCGAGAATGGCACCGAAAAACCAAAGAACTTTCCGCGCACCGTCCCCCGTTAATGTGTTTTACGAAAACATCGGCCGTGCCTCGCGCCCCGTTTGAGGTTCGTACCGCACAAACAGAATACATACATACCGTTAACTCGGAGTCTGAGTGGCGGAAAAATAATTCGACATATTATATCAAGGAGTGCCGTGCATCGCGATGCGTAGGGAAACATCAAAGAAAACATTTGTCATTCCGTAGCGAACGGTCATACGAGTTCTCGAGATTACGTTAAAGTAACCGAAAGGGGAAAAAAAAATGTCCGCAAAATACCTCCGTATACATTCCGTTCGGCGTATCATATTATATGGTGGCTCTTCTTATTTGCCCTTGTCGCGCACATCTATTATCTATCCGCTTCACCGCGATGGCAATCGGTATTCTGTTGGCAAATGATTCCTGTACGCATACGCGCGGGCCAGCAACGGACAATTCGGCGAGAGACGTATCTCTTTCGAAATAAATTATGCACATTCGGCCGCGTAACGTACATGTAAATCGCGGTTGGACGAGTGTGCGCGACAAAACGTCATCGAAAAACGTTCCATTTCGCTCGTGACCACAACGTGCGTACGCGTATACCGCACGACGAAACTCTTCTTTTGCAAAACGTCCTTGAGGCACACTAATAATACAATGTATAACGTGCACGTTGATCAGTTTATTAGTCTGTTACTACAAAAATAATTAAAAATCAATTATAAACATTATTGAACATAATCTCGGGTTAAACAGTTTAATGAGATTTTGGACACGGCTTGCCGTCCCACAAGAGAGTCGATAATCTGGATTAAAACATGATTAGTTTGAAACGGTGCGCCCGGATCTGTTAATAAGTACAAGTAGAGTTTAATTGGTACATGAAAAAATGGGGGTTCATCACTGTTGTTGTTTGAGTAAGCGGACGCGACGGGCTTGAATAGGACCAGTTTACAATGTGGGCGCATGTGATTGTCGTGAATGATTGCAAGGCTCGGGGAAAGAGAGCACGATCGACCGCAGGGACTGAGCAAGTCGGTCGTGGCCATTCTATAGACGAACGCTCGAATTAGCGCGCTGTGTGGGTACAAGGTGTTGGTCCTGAAAAGAGCCGTTTTTAGTCTCGTCTAACGATACGAACTGTTGCAACAGGCCGAGAAGGTGCTGCGTGTAGGCCGTGTAAGACGTGTAAATATTGTATAATACAAATATGTAATAACATTGTTTTAAACCGAACTATAGACTTTAGTTTTACCGACCAACGGTCTACGGCAACCGTAGGCATAGATTATTGCGTTATTTATTCGTTGTTATCATAGGTACACGAAGGTTGTCCAAACCGCGTTTGTCGTCGCCTTTTTTTCAAAAAAATTTTAACATATTTCCACGGAACAATGACTTAGGCTACGGTTACTATGTATGCGAGTTCCGACGAATAATTGTTCTGACGAGTTCTGACGTATTCGTCAAAACAAACAAACGCCTGTTTTTCAATGAGATTGTTTACACTGTACGTCACAACATACACGACGTCGTCAGTTGAGCGTTCAAAGAAGTTTGATTTTTTCGTCCGAAATGTGAATGTTTTGACGAGATTTGATTATTATATAATTATTACAATTTATTTATTTATTTGAACCATGGATCCCGATAATTTATTAATTATATATTAATAATTATATAATATTATTATAATAATAATAATTATATATTAATCAGTCTCGTGTATGAGAATAGGTGTTTGTGGGACATGAGTGAACTTTGTAATACTTTCTTCTATTTTCTCCAGTATGTATTTAAATGTTTCTGGTTTCATCCTGAAATACTCGAAAAACTTTTCCGGTTGATCCCACAATTCTTGAAATAACATTTCAAACTCTCCTTTGTCGTCTGTTCTAGAAAATAACTCGTTGACATGCTCTGTTTTTCCACCATATAACAACAATAATTTCAATAACGGACTTTCAAGAAAATACAATTTATCAAGTTCGTCCATCTTTGCTGGGTGGCAGAAACATACTGACCACCAGAATGTCAAAAACCGCGCACAGTGTAACCGCTTTGTTCTGACGAATTTTTCGTCAGAATAATTATTCGTCAGAACTCGCATACATAGTAACCGTAGTCCTATTCAACTGAATCGAAAACTATACAATATGAAGTACGATGGGCGTTATTTAAAAAAAAAAAAATGAACGGTTATGGTGTACGAAACTATCAAATCGACTAAATATGTTTGTCAGTCGAAACGTGATAACGATAGGTCCAGTCGATCGATCCTCACCCCATCAATAACCAGTGCGCCACCGGTTGTCGTCGGACACCGTAGTGTCGGTTCCGTGCGTTGCACGGACGATAATGTTTCGCAGCGAAAACGGCGAAAGCTGTCCACGAGGGCACACCTCGCGGCGATCGTGCTCGTATCCATGGTGACCGCACGTGCGTGTGCACCGTGCACGCGGCTCCGCGTCGGATTCAATTGACCGGGTGCACATCGTGACGGCGAAAAGCTCGCGAACGCGTGCGATAGTCCTACGCGCGGTCCCGTAGTTTCGGCCGCCGGACTGAAAATGTTAACAAATGACCGAGGTCGGACCGAACCGATTGGTAAATTTACTTTCGTTGGACCGGACCGGACCGAGAATTCAAAACGCTTCGTCAGAGTGGACCGCTATCGCACCACCGGTCCGAACTAACGAATTCCAGCGGACTGTTATGGCTTATGGACCGGTCCGGCCGTAATCCGATCCTTCGGCTGTTGTATACGATGACACCGGACCGGACCGGACCATGCGGAGCACTAATTTACAATGTGACGCGTGGCGGACGCGTGCACAAGGAAAATATTTTTTATAGGAAGGGGGGATCGGTTTATACATTTTCATACTTGCACAATCTACAAACCACTTTTACTCTAAAAAAAAACATATATGATGATTTTCCTGAATCTCGAGGAAGGTATGAATCCTTAAGCCCGCCCCTTTTGCGGAAAACTCCATAAGTATGCCATGACGTTTGATAATCGATGTATTTATCGTACGATCATGCATCTGTAACGACTGTCGTGTACCAGTGATTTTACCGTTCGAGTTTGGTCGCATCGCAATAAAACTGATTCTTATATTACTATTAACTACAATAATTATCAATGGTTTCTGAATAAAGTACAAATTACGCAGTTCGCTTTCATGTTAAAAATGTATTTGGTCGACTGAAGGTTATATCTAGCCGACCAGCGTACATGTTTTACGGCTTATTTATTGACATAATCGTCCGACGTACGTGAACCGGTGATGAATAAAAATCAAATAGGAGTGTGTATTGAACTGTGTTCAATTCTACAGATCGACTTGTGATGACGATAGACCGCACCACTAGTTTTCATTAAACCTCCCGACCCTCCCGACCGTTCGTTGCGATCGGTTTTTAATCCGTATTGTTATATTCTTGCAGATATCCGAGTTAAGCCACACAGTGATCAGCGCACTATCGTTTCGGGTCGAGTACAGACGGGGATCCGGCGGCACGGCCATGTTCCAGAGACAAGTGCGTTTTCAAATCGACTTGTCGGACGTCACCAACACGCACGCTCCCAGGGACTACTTGTTCGCCATCGTTTTCACGCTGCATTCCGGTGAGTCGTCCCTTTTTCGCCACGTCTCGCTCATGTGTGTCTCGCGTTTGCCAAAGGGTTGTTTTCACTAAGCTCTCCGATTCTCTGTTTGTACACTGCGCAGGTAACATAAGACGATTCCGAAGGGTCTGCGAACACATCCAGACGCAAATGTGTGCGAGGAAAGCTCCGAACTCGCCTCGGGCGACCAGGAAATTCAACACGGATCTGTCAGAGAGCTCGAGTTGCGGATCGGACACGTCCGACAGACTATCGCCTTACGTAAACATAAGAAATGTGAGTCGATAACAAAAACAACCACAACCACGTGAACTCGGGCTGGGGCCGTGCGGACCGTATAGAATTTATTGATTTTCGAGTGCCCAAGAGATATTGCTTGTTTGGGACAAAAAAATTTAAATATAACGTTTGTCCGGTAACATACTGGAGCGTTGATTGGGCCACCGGGACGAGTATTTTTAAATATTTGTACTGTTATACCTTCGAAAAATGATTCCGAACAAACGTAATTTTAGTTAAAAATTCGAAGTTCTCGTGATAATAACAAGATAATTCTCGAGACATTTGAGATGTTTTCAGTATAATTTGGTTAAAACAGAATAACTGTTATATTTATTATTATTATGTTACAAAAAAAAAAATTCAATGGGACCTCTTGTCGACAGAAACTCATCAGACAATCGTCTTCCAATCGGAAATCATCCGTTATACAAAGATCTCAACTATTATGATATATCTGTCGATCACAAAACCTGGTTTGTTCGAAGACATTCAAGGTGTTGACTTTTTTTTTTTTTAATATTTTCCTTCCACCCAAGGAAACAATTGAAATCATCGAAATTGACATATTCAAAGTACCTTCTGTGTCCAATTTCCGATATAATGAGACGCTACATGACACTCCTGAAATATTTTTATTATTTACTACAAGAAAATGTTTCAAAAAAAAAACATCATTATAAACTTTGCAGTATACACATTTTATTTTATTCCTTGTATTTTTCAAAATCTAAAACCAACGGCACAAACAATTGTTCGAAAACACCTACACGCTTCAAAGCTCAATTAATTATTTTGATTGACTATTTTATAATGATTGTCAATTATCGTCAATTATAATAAACGTGAAAATTAAATTTATAATCGTGCAATACATATGGTTAACGAATAGAGGAAATTTCGTTTTTATTTATGAACACGACATAGTGCACTATTTTTGTTCCATTCGAGTATTATAGTGTTTTTAACAATATTTAACAATTGATCAACTGATGAAACACGAAATATTTAAGTACTGTTGGTTGGAGACTTACGGGACTAATGAGTTGCCTGAGGATCTCGGTGATAAGTCCGACTGAAAAGGATGGAAGGGATTCGCATCCGGAGACGTAATGACAAAATGCGATTTATGCCTTTGGGAACGTAAATTATTAGGCATTGAACGAAGTGGGCAATTGGTTAGGTTAATGTATTTTATTTTTATTTTCCGGTACGGTGAGTAAAAGCAGTGCTTCAAAAATGTTTACATGGTTTATCATGAAAATGCGTTCAACTGTACTTTAAATAGTCCGTTTTTTCTTAATGTTCCACTATTTTTTAAGAGGATTACAAAAGACGATTGAATTTAAAGCGAAATTGTTAGAAACAAACAATCGATTTTGATTATTTTCTTATGATTTGGAGTGTAATAATTCAAAATACATATGATTTCCTTCTTTTTTTTCTAATCGTATTTTATTTACGTGAATGGTTTTTTGAAAAAAATTAGGTTCTACGAGGTTATGCTTATCAAGAACATTTGAATTACGAATAATGGAATATAAATTCGTTAGTGAAAGAGTGAATGATGATGGCGTTAATGATAATTAAAAAAAAAAAAAAAAAAAAGCAAGTATACGCAGAAAAAACATCAGCTCTTAAATAATGTTACACTTTTAGTTAATAGCTCTTTCGTGCCGTTGGCTTAACTGAAGTGCTCAGGCTGTTCCTAGTGGTCCTACATTTCTTACATGGTTATATGCGGTAAAACTGAAGTACATTTTTATCGTTAAAATATAATGAAGATATTAAAAAGTATAGAACAGTAGAACAAATACACTTTAGACGTCCACAAATAAGCATAGAGACTTCGCGCCTCCGAAACTTATTTTGCCCCAAAACTGTGTGCGCGTACAATATTATCTTACGTTTAGGGTCGGATTGCACTCGGATCAAATGAATACAGGTAATTTTCGAACTGCATTGTATTTTTTAATTCAACGTAAAGAATCACTCGTTTTCAAACTAACGAACATCTTGAAACGTAAAGAAAAAATCGCATAATAATGACAACACCTTCGATTACATCATTTTTTTGATTTACGTTACACAATAAAACAGATAAATTAATCAAAAAAGTACTATGAAATATTTTCAGTTACACACGAATTTTAACGATTAATCGTTGATAACGCAATGCATTCGACCATTTTTTGTATTCGTCCCCCAAGTGCGTCCGTCGCCGGCCGTCTCAATTGGCGGAGATTGGTAAATCCGCGTCCTATTACTGTGTTCGCAGGTGGACTTGGACAGAGACGAGAAGAACAAGAGACTGATGAGCCAACAGGAGGCGCGCGGCAAAGGTTATTGCATCGCGAACAACCGGCAGAGACGGCGGAGTTCCAGTCTGGCGAACAACAACAACTTCAAAGGCAGCAACAACAATTCCGTAGCAAACTCTCCGGTGGGCAGCAACGGCGGCGGTGGCGGCGGTGGTGCCGCGGGTGGTGGTGGTGGCATCGGGGGTGGTTCCGGCATTAGCATCGGGGGCAGTCGCAGCGAAGCGCCCACCCGGTCGAACAGCGAGACGAAACCGGTGGACGGCAGTTACATATCGGTGTCGGGCTCCATGACTTGAAAACCGCGATCGCTATTTTGTTATTGTAAAAAGCCAAAAACACTAACTCAATACGATTGGGTTGCATTTTATCATAATGCGTGTAAGAAATAATCCGGTCCTGAAAAAAAAAATCATTGATGATAGAATAATATCTGTCGAGACGTAAACACGTTATTATTGAGGTGTAAATAAAAAAATTAAAATTAATTAACATAAACCTACGATATTACTATTATTAGTTACACGGGACTTTACTGTACATATAGTTATATTATAATATTATATAATTATGCATAAGAGCGTAAGTAAATAAAATGTAAAGCCGTTCCGCTTAGTGAGGTATTATTATAATTATTATTATTATTATTATTATTATTATTATTATTATAACTACTATTATTATAATTATTATTTTATTGTTAATTTTTATTTCTTTTCGACTTAAGCTTCATCGTGGTGCACTCATCGCTACAACGCGTAAACGTAATATACATAATAAGTGTATAGTTGAATTTATAACTTTTTAGACGTTTTGTGATCCCGTGCGGGAGCGATTTGGAATCGGCTTTGCGATGACGATATTATTATTATTATTATTATTATTATTATTATTATTATTATTATTA